CACCTGTTAAAGATTAAAGTTATAATAAAGGAAATAAAAACCTCCCTTGAAAGTAATAAAAGCATACTAGATCATACAAAAAAATCGAATCTCAGACGTAGAAGATGGAATAGCTGGCCTAAAAAAATCCACCACAAAGACAGAAAATTGCCCCCCAAAAGTGAAAATAATATATGAGAAATACTAGATACCATCAAACATCCAAACATACAGATAACTGGTATCCCAGAAGATGAAGAGACTCATAAGGGCATTAATAATCTACTCCATGAAATCCTGGAAGAATATTTTCCAAACCTAGAAAGGCATTCAAAGATCCAGTCCCAAGAAACACAAAGGACTCCAAATAGAATCAACTCAAGAAGATCTTCTGCAAGACATATTATAGCCAGGTTGGCCAAAACCACAGACAAAGACAAGATACTAAGATAGGCAAGAGAGAAATCGCAAGTTACCTACAAAGGATATCCCGTCAGGCTAACAGTGGACCTCTCATCGGAAACAATGCGAGCAAGGAAAGAATGGGAAAATATATTCAAAGTGTTAAAGGAAAAACAATTTCAACCAAGAAACAAAACCTGAAAGAATTTACCAGCACCAGGCCAGATCTCCAAGAAGTTATGAAGGGAGTACTATCCTAGGAAAATTAAATACAGACACACAGAAATAAGAGTTCAAAACTAAGAAAATGGCCAACTTAATCTTAGGAACAAGTCTGGAGTTGATTATTATATCCCAGAATTTAATCAGAAAGATCAAACCACAACAGAAAATAGATTAAGTACGCGAGACTGAATTGGTGAAATAGAATTTTATGGCTTTTGACAAAAACATTGCTGATTTTCTTCTAGGCTTTGTTTTCTGGTTTTAAGGACTTTTGGCCTGTCTTGAGTTGCCTATAGGTTCATGTATCCACTATTTGAACAGAGACCTAACCTGTTTCCTGGCTTTAAGTTTTAAGCAAATTTCCTTATCATTTCTTTGATTTATTAAAGCTAAAACTGCTTTCCTTGAAATTGAAAAATATATTTAAAAATATCTATTTAATGACCATAGCAAACTATATAGCATCAGCTAGGTGCTACCTTATGGTATACTCATTCTACTCAGAGTTTTGCACCTAAAGTCAGACATGCATTCACAGATATGTATATACCAGTTGAACTTGCTATTGAAAGTAGTTAGATTATTTAAGAAATTTTGTGAATCAATAAAATGTGGGGAGAAAAAGGAAGGGAAAACAACTGTAGACACCTGAGATACTGTGGGAGAAGTGTGGGAAATGGCAGAGGGTGAGAAATAGGGAGAAAAAAATACATATATACATATATATATATATATATACACAGATATGAAACTAGAAATGGAAAAATATTGGCAATAACATGTATGACTAAGCTAAATCACATTTTGTACACTGTGATGATGCTCGGTGAATGAATATAAATTAATTAAATAATGAAAAATAAAAAAAAAAGAAACTGTCCCAATCTGGAGGAACCTAAGGAGATGCAATAACTAAATATAATGTGATATCCTGGATGGGATCCTGGAACAGAAAAAGATCATGAGGGAAAGCTGACTAAAGAATGGAATTAACTAGCTCCATTTAAAATTGATCCACATTGGCTCATTAATTGTGACAAATGTGCCAACAATGTAAGGGGTTAATAACTGGGGAGACTTTGGTATAGGGTTTATACAAACTGTATGCATCGCCTTCACAACTTTTTAATAAATCTACAGTATTCTGTTAAAAAAAGAAAAAGCAACAGAGAAATGTTAGTTAATGATTTCAAATTACCTGGGCTATCACGAAGAACTCAAATGTGATGGGAGCAATCTAATTATAACTCAAGCCCAGAATTCCAATGTAGGATGCTTAGTCTTTGGCAGGGAGTGGGAGAATATTGGCAAGTATGAAGCAGTGACCTGACATCAGAGAAGTCTAGAACCTGGAGTGCTAAGCAGAGGATAAAGTCAGGGATGTGGATAGTGCTGCTGCTGCTGCTGCTGCAGGTGATATTACTATAACTCCTTCCAAAGCTCAGAATATGTATCACTGGATTGAATCTTTGACTTCCTAGGAACAATTAAAATGTTTACTTTAAAACCTGCTTAGGAAAAAACAACATCTGTTAACCTCTTGGCTAAGTAAATCCATCTTATCTCTAAAAAAAAGACATAATCTGATATGTCTTTCCTGGTGTTATATGACCCAATGTGAAAATCACATCCTCCCACTGAACAACTTCTCTCCCACTGGGGAGTAGTGAGATATGGAGTGCTAGCACTCTACACGCATTACATCAGAGGAGCAGCTCAGTGAGTGAGGCAGAACAGGAAGATCTGGGGCACATTCTTTTAAAGGGCAGAGAGAACCTGAAGAAAATGAGAAAATGATGTTGGAATCAGAGGAAGCACAGTGGCCTGAGAGTGGATAGATAGCTCATAAGTGCCATTGCAGGGAAGTAGTAAGACTAGAGTGGTTCAAAAAGAGATACGTGTCCATGGATGAGATGTCTTGGAGCAAATATTTGGAAGGCTCAGAAGGGAAGCAAGCAATTGCTATTGAGCTAGGAAGAATGACAGCAACAGGCTAGCATGACCCACACACTGCAGGATTCATGGAGAGTTCCTAAATAGGGCAGGAGAGGCACAGTCAAGGGCAAGACAGAGCCTCAGATCAGAAGACTCAGAGTATTAAGGAACAAAGGCAGGCATTCTAACTCCAGGGACGGAGATGGAGGCTATTACCAGGATTAAGTACTAGCTGGGAACTGAGTTTGTAGTAGATACTAATGACAGAATAGATATCTAGATGCGAAATCTTTATTTCAACACTTTAAAAAAAGCACTCTCTGAGGACTAGAGGATTCCTCAATGTCAGAACAAGACAGAAAGTGCTGATGGGGGCTTCAAAGAGACAGCTGGGAGGTTAAGAAGGTCGAGGAACGAAGAATCACTTGATTCTAGTTGGGGTAGTTTTCAAACTCAAAACATCTAGAAAGTCTGGGCTGAGGAAGCTAAAATCTCCCAAACTCTATGAGAGACTAAGATAACTAAAAACTTATTTTTAAAATGTATAAAATATGAATCCAGCCTCATGGCACAGTTAGTAGCAAAGTGATCCACAGTGCTGGAGGCCATATAGCCAACCACAGGTTCAGATCCTGGAGTTAGCCTGCATGCCCATCAGATGAGTGCATGTGTCCTAGGTTCCTGAGGCGCTGGAGAGCTGGAGAAAAGCAATTGTGGCATGATGAGACCTTATTGACGGTGCCTCTCTCTCTCTCTCTCTCTCTATCTCTCTGTGGCAGGTCCATGCACCTCTATCATGAATAAGATAAGTAAACTTTCAAAGAGTGTATAAAGTTGAGCTTTTGAAGAAAAGAAATAAGTTATTTCCCCATCTACAGGTGATGAGTGCAACCATTTAAATACATCTCTCATCTAGTTGAAATATGATCTCTCTATACCGTCATCAAAGCGTCAAAGCCCTATCATATTTGTCATTTTATTTTATATTCTCAATAACTCTATGAAGTAAACAAAATAATATGATCAGGCTTGGTTTTCAAATGTAGAAATGAAAGTATAGATTAATAACTTTACAATGTCTTAAAGCCACGTACACAAAGTCAGATGATCTAACAGTAAATCCAGACACGTCTCCAGCATTTCATTGAGGCTCGAAGTAAGGTGAATGAAAGTAGGATCTGCTGAGCTATGCCCTTTGGTAATCTTATCCCTGGGCAATCTGGGATTTAACCTTATCCTGCCTGTTGTCCTACCTCCTGTGCATTACCTGTACTTAGCACTGAGGTCAGCTCTAAATTCCAGAATTTGTTTTTTCTGTCTGCCGCTTCCCTTCAGCCTGATAGAAAACAGGGAAGACCCAAAGCTTTGGATTCAGGTCAACTTGAGTTCTAATTCCAGCTCTAAGTTGCTATGATTTCCATCTAAGAATTTATTAGCATTTGTACTTCAATACAGATTTCGAAAACAGTGGATATATTACGTATCTTGGAGGCTTTTACGTTTTTTAAACATGATAACAAATAAAAAAACACTAGATTAATGTCTGGTGCATAGTAGATATTCAATAACCATTGGCTTTTTTCCTTTATTCTTTTCACACCATATGTTAGTTCATTTGATTTAAGAAGGCAATGCTGGCTCCATTTTACAGGGGATCTATAAGAAAGGTTAAGATGAGAACCAGCAGGTGGTGTGGTGGTGAAGGTGCTGGACACTCCCACATGGCCAACCTGGTAGCTTTCTCTCTCTCTCTCTCTCTCTCTCTCTCTCTCTCTCTTGCTGGTCAAAATAAAAATAAATTAATGAATTAATTTAATTTAATTTAATTAAAAAAAAAACAAAAATTAAGATAATTTCTTAGGACCACACATAAGGTAAGTTAAAATAGGACTAGACCTTAGGTCTGCTTGGCAACAGACACACTGGGTACCCTGTGCTAACATCCTATTAGCCCGACTCTGGTTTCAGCTATACTTATAGAGGTTAGTTCCTACATACAGACAACGTTCCACTCTAGGCACCAACTGTCCCTGTTTGTGTCTCCTCCTCAATGTGTCAGGTTTCTGTCTAAAGTCCCCAAGAGTTCTAAGCAAGAGAGTCCTGCAAGTCTAGAGGAGTTAAAATCCCTAAGGGCATTTTCAACAAATGGGAGCTGACAGCCAGGAGATCAATTCCCCAGCCTCTTCCCTCAGACAGAAAATTCCAAAGTCTATTACTTGGGCCTCTGCTGCCCACAGCTAAAGCCGTCTTGGTAATCATGCTATTTGGCTTTTATCCTCTATTGCATTCTCTTCTACACCTCTAATCCTGCTCCCTTATCATCTCCCACATAAATTACTTGCACCTAAGTCCTTGTCTCGGTCTATACCCTGGCAACTGAAGTTTGGACATGGGGGAGGGAAGGCAGTTTTGTTTTGCTTTCATTTGGTTTTGTTCTGTATTTCTCTATTCTTCCATAGGTCACCAAGATGCTGGCAGTGGTTGTAATTCTGTTTGCTCTCTTATGGATGCCCTACAGGACTCTAGTGGTTGTCAACTCATTTCTCTCCAGCCCTTTCCAAGAAAATTGGTTCTTGCTCTTTTGCAGAATTTGCATTTATCTCAACAGTGCCATCAACCCAGTGATTTACAACCTCATGTCCCAGAAATTCCGCGCGGCCTTCAGAAAGCTCTGCAACTGCAAACAAAAGCCATCAGAGAAACCTGCTAACTACAGTGTGGCTCTAAGTTACAGCGTCATCAAGGAGTCAGACCATTTCAGCACAGAGCTTGATGATATCACCGTCACTGACACTTACTTGTCTGCCACAAAAGTGTCTTTTGATGATACCTGCTTGGCTTCTGAGGTAACCCTGAGTCAAAGTTGATTTGTAATTAGAGGAAAATAGACAGCAAAGTCAATGAGAATCTGTGCAGTTATCAACAAAATAAATAACTCGCATGTGAAGACCGAGCAGATCAATCCTCTGTCATTGCTCTAACAAATCCTTACCCTGGATACTTTAACCCATGAGACTGATTCAGATTTTTCCTCTTACAAAACTAGAATCACACACACACACGCACACACACACAAATAGAGCATATCTGTTAAATAGCAAAATGGCAAATACTGAAAGTACAGCCCTTCTCATTTAATTACAGAAATTCACATTATTTTCTGGTATTAGATATTTTTGATAAAATCTAGAGATTAATTTACTCTATTCATAATAATCCTATCAAATCTATTTTCCTCACTCCCCTTCCCAAATTATCTATACATTAAATAATTTGACAACATACACACTTTAAATGTTTGCATTTTGTATCTCATTTTAACAGGATATAATGCTATTTAATGACTGAGACTACACAAAACAATAGGAAACAATGTTTTATTTATTGAGTAAAAATGAGATTTCAGACAAACATGTTCATTCATAATGTTTATCAAATTCTGAGATGATTTTTATATGAAGTTATCTTTTAACTTTGATGTAAAATAAACCTCACAATATCCAAAATTACATATTGAGAAGACATTTAGATTTGATTTTGAGACAAATCCAGCTCTTATCAACTTGTTAAACTTCCTAAATAATGGATAGGATAAGAGAAGTATCCACATTCAATAACTGTAAATGTACAAACTAGCATGTAATCAATGTTGAAAACGGAGCTAAGGCTCACCATGTGGTGCATGTGATAGGTTCTGCCTACGAGACTGGACTGTGCGGGAGACCTGGGGTTGGTTTCCAGACCAACCTAAACAGGCTGGATATGGTGGCGCACACCTGTAATCCTACCAACCAGGAGGCTGAGGCAGAAGGATCATGGCATGGCAAGGCCTGTGGAAAACCCCTATCTCTCTACCTCCCTAACTCACTCCCTTTTCTTCTCTCTAATAATAAATAAAAGTAAAGCCAAGACAAGACCATGTACTTAAAATCAGGTTTACTTTTTCTCTGAAACTTTTAGGGAACAAAATGTTTTCTGAACATTCTCGTGCATAAACTATTGAGCCTTGTCAAGTGAATCCTTCTAGCTGAATCTAGCTTAAAAGTCTGAAACATTCTCAAGAGCTTAGTTATTATTCTAAGTCGACTGAAATACTCTTGCATTTCCAGGTGAAGACCTCCCACTGAGCATTGTGGTCTATTGATTTTAAACTTGTCTGCAATTGTCTTTCCTTCCTGCCTGCTTGTCATTTGTAAGTTCATTGCTTTTGTTTTTTTTTTTCAAATGCTAGTGATATTTGGTGTTCAGATCCTAAACCTAAGCAAAATACTATTGGCTCTATTGTGCATAAAATTAAAACTGATTTCATTGTATTGTCAGTATCTCATCTTTATATTTATGATATGGACCTGCTATTTCAATGATTATTCGCTAGGTATAAATGTGAATCTGCCCAGGATACTTGTCAGGTCCTCCTTAAATCCCTTTCAAATGACTCACCAACTAAGATTTGGCCAATCGACATTTTCAATGGTATAAATTGCCCTTGGTAATGGATCAGTAGTCACAGATTTGTAATGACTGTATCAAAAAGCACCTGTACCCTTTTAGTGCCCTATAAACGGGCATTTTCCCTTTCCAGCCTATATACTCATTATATGTTTTTCTGCAGCCTAATTGCTATTGATAACTACTTCTCTTCACCTTCTTAATGAAGACTACATCCTTCCGTTTGGGAAACGTCTATTTCAAAACATTGCTTCATGAAGACCCTGCCATGGAGAACTTTATTCCACAATATGCTTTTAAAAATTAGCTTCATGCACTCCAAGCAGATAGTCTTATCCTATCACTGAATTAGTAAACAAATGCAAAGACATATTTACAGAAAATACCTTAACAGTCTGTCTGCATGACAGTAAGCAATCTATTTTAACTGACTTTTCATCCTGAATTAAATATCAACCTGAGAGTCATGTAGATAGCGTACCAGAATGACCCACATGTGCAGGTGCAAATGAACACACACACGTGTGCATAAATGGCTTAACAAAGGAGATTGGAACATACTACTTGTTTTTTTTCATTAGGAAAAGGGACTAATAGCATTGCGCAGATATCTACATGCTGATAGATACTTAATCAATGTTACCTTTATCACAGTCTTACCACAACAGTGATCTCTCTCATAACACCAGGTATCGGGTATTAATGCTGCTTCCCTAAATAGTGTGGGTCCTAGGG